GCGGCTGTGGCCCTCTGGCCGGGGTGTCCCGAGTCCTCGGGGCAGGAAGGGGCTCCCAAACAAGGAAGCATCACCTGCGGGCCCTCGCCCCTGCCCCTCTGCTTGAAGGGACGAGCCCTCCCCCCCGCCCCCCACTCTCTAAACGCCGAATTCCTCATCCGGGTCCCCACCCTTTTTGGAGCAAGGGTTGGGGGGTCCCAGGAAGCCGTGCCCCCTGGGATCCTCCAAGCCCCTCTCCTCCTGGCGGGCGCACCTCTCGCCCTCCGCGAAGGCTGGTCCCTGGCAGGGTTCAGCCTCTTGGTTCCTGGGTTCTGCTGGCAGCGTTGGCAGCCTCTCCGGAGCAGCCCCCCTTCCCCGTTAGCGGGGCGTCTTCCCCTTTGGAACCCCCCCGGGAGCCCCTCCAGAGGCCGAGGTTTCCGATTCCGAAATGGGTTTGGCGTTGCGGGCACCTGGTACACAGGCTTGGTTGGCCCTTTGTTGTCATTCCCGCAGACCCTTTGCCTCTTGCAGCCCTTTCAGGAGCTTGTGTTTGGCTAACCCCGCAGTGACCTGGAGGCAGGTTATTTTCTTGAATGTTTTAGTTGCAGGGAGCCAGGCTCATGCCTAGGGTTGAAGGTGTGACCCCAGTGTTTTACGGGCATGAAGGAGAAAGCTGACGGCTTTTCCTTTACTGGAACTGCCCAGCAAAGGAGGGATGCACGACTTGTGCCCCTGGTGTAATTCGTGTTTGTGGGACTAAGAATTTGTCTTTCCACCTTGGTGTCTCCTCTCATCCCCTTAACACACACACTAATATATACATATCCCCACTGGGCCAATCTTAAGAGAGAAATGTTGCCTTCAGTTTGGTTCTGTAGGACTTGGGCAGGATAATGGGTAGTTTCTGAGCCCTGGTCAGTACTGCTTTCTGTGTTTTCAGGGATGAAGGCTCTGTGCTTCAGCACTTGATGTTTCTGGCATGTGTGGATTCAGATATTGACAGTTTGGCAGGAGTGTGTTTTCCCACGGTTAGCTGCATGAGGAGCAAGGCGATGTTTTTCATTGTTGTCCTACCTGATTCAGCACTTGTACAGAGTTGTCACTCAGGAAATTTTACATACACACAGGAGACCTTTTTTTTTTTTTTTAATCCTGAAAATCTGTTAATAAGGCTTCCCCTTGAGTAACTCCCCCTTGACCTCTTTTTCTGCCCCAGAAACATAAATAATTGTTCTTTTCTCTCTAGTGCCGCTTTTCTCATTTAAATAACCTCCACATCCGTGTTTTCATCAGCTCAGAGTAAAAGTGAAATCTGTGAAGTTGATTTTTCCTGCTTCCCGTTGTTCACTTGGGAACAACGTTGAGTCTTCCACTTGTATTTGTGCATTTACCTGAGATTGGGATTGGAAGTAAATTTAACCTTTGGGGAAGAGGTACAGGTAGAGAATGAAGGATCTAATGTTAAGGCAAACAATGAGATTTGACATGGGAAGTTTTTTCCAGGGATGTCTTCCTACAGATACATGTGCTGTTGCCTCTAGAGAAGAGTACTAGGCAAGGATTCATGGAGTTTAATGTCTTTGTGGCTTTTGAATTACTTTTCTTGATGCTCCTGGGAGGGGTCAGAGGTGAGGCTCCTTCTTACTTTATCCCTATGTCTGTTTTCTAGGCTCCCACACCAGCGGGGCGAACACTGCTTCTTACTACAGCTGCTCAGAAGCACCATTGGAAGCTCAGATGTGGGCGCCCCAGCCAGCAGCAGAGAGGGTTCAGGGGAGCCACAGAAAAGCCCCTTCTGATGCCCCAAGGAGGAAAACAGAACAGACTGTAATATAGAAATCTCTTTTCAGATCTAAAGCACTGGAGCCTGATTG